GGCTTTCTGGTTTTACTCCCTGATAGCCTCATCTCAGGTACCAGCATCTCCAGCTCCATCCGCTGCATGAGGCGTGCGGTGCTGGGAGATATGTTCAAGGTAAAAGGCTCTACTTTTTTCTTACATTCTTTATGTGTTAGTGATTATGGTGTGATGGACACTCATATTAATCACTAACAAAATAGCCACTTTTTTTCTTTTAAAATAAAAAATGCAGTATCACTAAAATAATTTATTATTAAGTGAGGTTTTTTTGTTGTTTCAAAGACCACAGTTAGAAAATAGATTTTAGTGCATAGTGTTCATCCTGCTTTGAACACATGTACTTCACTATGTTTCTGTTTTATGTTTATGCAGAGTTTTGATGGTGGCAGCAAGCAAATGCTTAACGGCACCATGGTCCATGAAGTCTTCCAAAGAGCAGCTACAGCTAAAGATTTTTCTTTGGAGACGCTATCTAAGCTCGCTGATGAGGCTTTGCACAGTCCTCGATATCTGGGAGATATGTAAGTGGTTAGACTGCTAGCACTGTAGCCCAATATTTGATTGTTTGAATAGTTGTTGGGTAGTTATTCAGCTTTCATTTTCAGGATGCATTTTTCCCCTATATGGAAATGGAAATGCTGTATAACCGTGTCAGTTTGAGCACATGACATTTCTTTTTCACTGCAGGGACGGGTTAAAAATTCACTAATCGTGTGACATTTTGCATGTTTGCTTTATGTTCCTTCTTTGTTTTTGTCATGCACGTGTTCGTAGGTACAGTTTGGGTGTAACTCAGGAAGAGATGAAGCAGGAGCTGCATGATTATCTCCCCTCACTGGAACACTGGGCAAAGGAATACCTCAACTCTCAAACACCTAAAGCCATAAGCCTTAAAATGTATGTATGCATACACAGACACAAATGTTATCAGCAATGCAGGAATAAACCTAATGCTCAGTGTAAAGTTAACCATAGTTTAAAAAGTGATAGCAGACATTTAAAAAAAAAAAAAAAAGAAGGTACAGGGGTTACTATGCCCGTGCCTAAGTAGAATAGACACTTCATTAACACTTTTGTTTACCTATTTATTTCAAAATGGCTGATTTGACTTAAATACTTGCCTAACACCAGTCAACACTTTTTTTTTAATGCTGATTATTTGTGCATCTCTGCCTTCTAGCAGTGGCGGAGCTCCAAGTAGGTGTCAGGACTTGGGAGCTGTCGCTACTATTACAGAGCTGGCAGACATAGAGGAGAACGTTTGGTCTCCGAGGTTTGGGCTGAAAGGAAAAATTGATGTGACGGCCCGGGTTCGAATCCAAAGACCGCGAAATGGCTTTCACAGAATTCCAGAAGAAAAGACCATCCCTCTGGAGCTGAAAACTGGCAGGGAGTCAAACTCGATAGAGCATCGCAGTCAGGTTATTTGGCATAGACACTGATATGCAGACCAGTAGATTCAGATGAAAAAAGCCGTTTTAATCAGGCTAAGGTGTGTTTCTGTGTGCAGGTGATTCTGTACACTTTGATGACCTTGGAGAGATACAGTCCTGAGGCCGGCTTTCTACTTTACCTTAAGACTGGCAACATGCACCCTGTAGCACCCAGCCACATGGACCGCAGAGGTACTGTATGTTGACGCTTCATGTAGCAACCAACCTGAGCAAAATTCACATGAAAAGATTCAAAAGTAGGGAAACTTGGAATAATTATGCGTTTTGCAAAGAAAATATCAAATTATCACATTTATTGTTAAACCTCTTGGTTCATGGCAGAGCTGCTGAAGCTAAGGAACACTTTGGTGCATCACATTCACAACTGTGTGGAGAAAGAGGCTGAGCGAAGCTGCCTCTCCAGGCTGCCGGACATACTGACCAACAGACAAACCTGCCAGTACTGTCCTCAAAAGAGAAACTGTGCCTTATATGAGAGGTAAGCCTCCCCCCCCCCCTTTTTTTTTTTTTTAGTCTTCCTTGTGTTGAAGGAAAGCAAGCGTCACAATTTTTATAAAAATCCTCAACTTCTGTCCTTCTTTCTTCATCTCCTTCACTTTTCAGGGCTGTGGATTGCAGCTCTGCAGTCACTGAAGATGTCATACATGAATTTATACAGCAAGAGACTGGCCACCTGACATTGCCTCATCTTAACTATTTTTCCCACTGGCTGCTTCTCTGTTGCTTGGAGTCTGTCACCATGGAGACTAGAAACAGCCGAAAGCGTGTGTGGCTTCAGACGGTTGAGGAAAGGTACGAAGCCAGACCTTCAAACAACAGATATCCTAAGAGTCTTTGGTTTTATCAAGATGTTGAGTTAAAGTTTACCATATTTTATTTTAAATGTGACGATATGAGAACACTGTAAATAAAACTATTATATGTGAGAGAAGTAGAACGAGGCTCTGGGAGGGTAGCCATCTGTTGACCATGTGGGGTGACCATGATAAGGGCGAAGAGAGGAAGGAAAAGCAAACAGACATAAAAAAAATTATTTGCTTAAATTCCCTTGTTATAGTTCTGAATACTTTTTTTTTTTTTTTTTACCTTGGCTTGTGTTTCCAGTGAGAAGAGCGGGAGCTGCGCAGGGAACCTGCAGCTCAGCGGGCCAGTGATAGCTCAGTCTGAAGGTGTTTTCCTTCATCGTTTCCACCGCAGTCATGTTGCTTCGCAGCAAGGTTTGACCAACAGCAGTCTCTCCAGCAGGGATCGCATTGTCGTTAGCGACCTGGAGGGTTGCCTTGTTGGCTTGGCAACAGGTTACCTGTGTGAGGTCAGCCAGACAGTAATCAGCTGCACACTGGACAGGTTAGGAATAAAGGGGCAGTGAGTTGCTGGTCTTTAGATGACACAGATAAGCTCAGCTACCTGATTTTTCACCTGTTTTACTGTTGAATGTGCTTTAAAGGGACCTGTCGAAGTTCAGGGGTGTGACATTTCGGCTGGATGGGGATGAAGGTGTGGTGGGCTTCAGCACCCACCTCACCAATCTCTCCAAACTGATGGAAAACTCTCAGAGCAGGTGGGTACAGTAAGATGAAATATGAAGTTATGATTGTACAACATTTAGGTGACTTAATACAAATGATGACTTCACACATTTTACGCTTGGTATTTCTTGTATGGATGAGAATTTTTTACTGTGTGCAGTGATCGTCTGAGGGAGCTGGTCGTCGACCTTCAAGCTCCAGAGTTCATCTCCAACCTCAGCTCTGTTTTGCCCAGTGAGGCTAAGGACACCGTGGCTGACATCCTCAAAGGTAACTCATCTTTCATGTTGCTTTTTATTTGTTTTATCCTTTTTAAAGTTTCAGTTTTGGTTTACATTTTGCTACTATGACGTAGATCAAAACATATACATAATATACATAGATTTTTATTAATAAGCGGATTCAAAAAATGTGTTTTTATAAGCACATTGTTAGCAGCTCTGCACAGGTGTTCAAATTTCAGTTTCATACATAAGTATTTGAAGCTTTGAAAAACTAATGAACTTGTGTTACTGTGTAGGTCTCAACAAACCCCAGAAACAGGCCATGAAGAAGGTGTTGTTATCTAAAGACTACACACTGGTAGTCGGCATGCCTGGCACAGGCAAAACCACAACCATCTGCACCCTGGTAACCACCACACTATTAACTTATTTTAACCATAGATCAACGTTTTGTGTGTGCTGTAACACCAACTGTGACCTTGGTCCTTGTGTCCTCCTCACTTTTCTTCTTAGGTTCGTATCCTGCATGCTTGTGGTTTTAGTGTGTTGCTGACCAGCTACACCCACTCTGCTGTTGATAACATCCTTCTGAAGCTTAAACGTTTCAGAGTTGGTTTTCTGCGTCTGGGTCAGGGACAGAAGGTGCGATATCTTTGACAGTGTTAGATGTCCACATTTCTTTATACTGCAATAAACGTTCTATTTGTACTGATTTGTGCTGTTAAGTAAAGTTGATTCAGTTTCTCATATTTGCACTAAAACTTAATGTCGATAACATTTAATAACTTTATGTGGTAATAAAACTGGTTTATTTTTTGGTTCTCTGCAGGTTCATCCAGACATCCTGTCATACACAGAAGAAAGTGTGAGGAAGAAAGGGGTTCACACTCTTTCAGACCTGGAACAGCTTTATAACAAAGAAGTGAGGAGTTAGTTTTTGGAAACAAGTGCAACATTCACTGATTTTAAATAAACTGCCATCATGATTGCATTATCCTTTCAGACTTGTTTTTTTGTTTTGTGTTTTTTGTCGTATGGTTAGCCAAGCCTTGCTGTTCTTCTATCTTTCCAGCTGATAGTGGCAACTACTTGTATGGGCATCAAGCATCCTATTTTTACTCGACGCCGCTTTGATTTCTGCATTGTGGATGAGGCGTCACAGATCAGCCAGCCTATCTGCCTGGGACCTTTGTTCTACGCCAAGAGATTTGTCCTTGTTGGAGACCATCAACAGCTCCCACCAATAGTGCAAAACCATGAAGCCAGGTCAAATATCTGTTTCCATAATAACATACAGCTCATTTACAGGGTCACTGCTCAGAGAAGATTCAGCATTTAGGGAATCTGTTGGGTTGAGTGAGAATGTTTTATTTATTTGGGTTTTTTTGGTCCTTTAGGTCGCTTGGGATGGATGAGAGTTTATTTAAGCGACTAGAGCTGCATAGTGAAGCAGTGGTACAACTCAACGTACAGTATCGAATGAACAGGTAATCTACATCCAGCATAACACTGCATGATTTGTTAATCTGGTCTTCTGAAATCTAAGCAGAGCCTTTAAACCCACGCTGCTCTTTTTTTTTTTTGTTTTTGTTTTTGTTTTTGTTTCCATGTCACTAAGTGATAATCGGTCACGTACAATAAATAATCCAGCTGGATTTTATTAATGAGTCAGCATGATTCATTAGCTAATTATTGCCACCCCTCAGCCGTGAAATACTGATGGGGTGTTGTGTGGACACCCAGGTTTGTGGATGTGTTAACTTAAGAATAAGGTGACAAGATTTTGAAATTGATACCTTAGGTCGCCAGTGTTTTTATTATTTGAAAATGTTTAGTTGAGTTTTTATTAGTTTAGGTATTAGTGGCTTTAATTATTATTGTATAAAGAAGATATGTGAGATGCAAAATTTAGGAAAAATCAACACAGATATTTCAATAAATGAATTGTATAACTGAATTATTAGAAAGCAGTGACTCAGTCTCAATAAACACATCCATTAATGCCACATCAGGCAAGATGTAAGACATTATTTTTACCATAACACACACCACACCTAAGGATTTTTCCTCCATTTATTTTTTTAATTTCATTTTCCAAGTTCACAAAATTATTTGCCTTCATGTTTTTGTTTGGCTGGTTTTTGTTTGTTTTGACAAGTTTCGTTTTTTGTTGATTATAATCTTCGTGACAGCCACAGGTATATCCAGACCATGACATCCGTGTGTCTTTTTGTGTCTTGTCTTTTTAGGCAGATCATGTCTCTCAGTAACTCTCTGATGTACGAAGGCCGGCTGGAGTGTGGCTCAGAGAGGACAGCCGCAGCGCTGCTCACCCTGCCCTTTCTGCTGTCTGTCCAGTCCGAGCTGAGTTCGTACTCTGAGGCTCATCCCCAGCATGACCTGTCGTGGATACAGTCTACACTGTTGCCGAGCAATCCTGTTTGCTTCCTGGACTGCTCGATGGTTAGTACAGTAAAGCGTACACTTCAAACATTTTATAATTTGAATTGTGTTGAGGTTGTAAACATAAAATAAAGCAGGTACACTAACTGGAAAAAAGTAATTAAAATAAGATTGGGTTATTGTGTGAGACACTTTTTTTTTTTTAAGTTTTTTTTAAGTTTTAAGTTTTTAAGTTGGTTTAGTTTATTCACGTCTGACAGACCTGGTGTGTGTGGAAAGATGTTTGATTTTCTTCATCTCTACTGGTTCATTTCAGGTGCCTGCACTAGAATCAGTGGAACAAGGAGGAATAAGCAATCACACCGAAGCTGCCCTCATACACACTCTGCTTTCACTTCTCATAAAAGTACACCAGTCTCCAAGTTTATGAGCTACTTAAGACATAATGAATTACCTATTTTAATACAATCCCCCATAATTAATAATAGATAGTTTAAAAGTTATATCAATTATTGGTAGTTGGTACTCATTTTAATCTGTGTTTATTCTTTTTGTTTTCAGGCAGGGTGTAAGCCCAGCGATATTGGTGTTATCGCCCCCTACAGGCAGCAGTTAAAGACAATTCTGGCTCTGCTGCAGTCGCCTGCATTCACTGGTGTGGAGGTGAACACAGTGGATAGATACCAAGGACGGGACAAAAGTCTGATTATTCTTTCTTTTGTCAGGAGCACGGCAGAGGAAGGAAACGTAAGTACTTCTCTTTTCATCGCCTTTTTTTTCTCAT